GCAGCTGTTTATTGAGACTTTATTACTCTTAAGAATTTATAGCTTTGCTAATTCAGTTTTTCTGTTTTCCCTGACCATTTGTTTAAATATAACATGTGGTGTTAAATGTTACATCCACTACACTAAATGTTACATCCATTACACTGAAAGAATAGACACAAAATACTGCTGTTAATTTTCACAAATGCACAAATTTCATTGTTGTAAAACCAAGAAAATATTGAAAAAATTTAAATGGTTTTTAACATGTTCCTGAAACTGTGGAACATATTATTACATACTTAATATGCTCACCGTGGTACAGCAGTCAGTCTGCAGACTTACAATGCTAAAAACCGGGTTTTGATACCCACGATGGGAACAGCACAGATAGTCCATTGTGTAGTTTTGTGCTTAACTACAAACAAACATACATACTTAATACTTACAAATATTTTTAAGCTAATTGTTGTTTAGTAAGCCAGAATCAAAAATATAAAACTAAACAAAGAGTGGGAGTTCTAGTTTGTAAAATAATAGACATGTCAGAATTTTTCTTTTTGTTGTACTGTATTATGCATAAAATGCTTGTGTGCAGTCACTGTGTCTGAATTTACTATTTCTTTATGTTACGCATAATTTTTATTTATGGATAGAACTTTCAGTATGATAGTATTAGTGCATTGTACTGATATTTAAACTCTAGAATCTCTTGTTTTAGATTATTTGTATCTTTGTACAAGTTATAGTTTTAAAGAGATTTTTGTGAGGTGAAAAGTATTTTTTATAATATTATTTTATCAAATTTGCTACTTTTTAAAGCATGACATATACTATTTCATATAGTTCATTCTTAAATCTTGCTAATCGGAATGTTATTTTATCACTCAAATACATATTAAATAATCAGTTGTGAGGTATTTACACACACACACACTGTCTCCTAGACTTGAGGTAAAGCTGATTGTTGTCATAAATTTTAAGCTAAGGATTGTGATGATCACAATGAAGTATTTTATTCTTATTGCACAGTTTAGATTGTTCAGTTGATAGTGCATCAATTTCAGATCACTGCTGTGAGATGTAATAGCAAGTTCAAACTCTGATCAGGGCACGTTATTCAAACCCTGAACTAGTATATAACACCCTGCAGGATGTTATCCCATCCCTGAAACCATCTAAGCTGACTAGTTATTAAATCACATACACGTGTTTTATTATTGTATTAGTAATTGGTCTAGGTTTATTTGTTTCTGCTAGTTGAGGATTATCATGGATATTGTGTATGTTTGGGACAGAGGTCAAACCCTTGCTGAGTGTGTGATATTATAGACAGGATGATTAGTATCTGCTTTGGACCCTAGCCTTGGTAGCAGTGTTAATACAACATTAATTTCAAAATACTAGTACGGAACTTGGGGGTTTTGAGGTTAAACCCTAGTCAGAGCAGATCAGATTTGCTGTATTTTAGGTTATTACAGTTAATAATTTATAACTAGTTACAATATAAGGTTTGTAATCTGGAGTTATATTTTGGAATTAAAAAATTAAAGAAAATGTATAACTTTTAGCAACAGTAAAGTTATAGACTGTGCACAAATATGCCCGTGATTGAACCTCGGTGAATCAAGTAACTTGTGGTTCATTAAGGGTGGTGTGAATGGCAAGGTTTAGGATCTCTCTTGAAATTAATGGGAAGAAAAGGTAATGTCAAGATAAAGATCTTGAAGCCCCTGCAGTATAAATAATTCAGTGAACATTTAAATTTAATGGATGTGTAGTTCACTTAAACATGGTTATATGGTATTGTTCATCAGAGATTTAGCTTCAAGCTTCTGTTGTTCTGATGTGCTGGATAGTGTTTTATTGTTAAAGATTAGCCTTGTTCCAAGGGGATACTGTAGATGTGCTACTGAATAGTAGAAAGTTGTTTTGTACTGTAGAATAGTGTTATTTGTTAGAGCTTTGATTTCAAAATAGCAGCACATGCTGATAGTCTCAGGAATGAGCTTTGGTCAAAGGTGATTTAACATTTTGATCTGTTATTCAAGTAAAATGAAAGCATTTTTAACTCTCAAATGACCAACTTATTTTTATACCATTCACTGCTAATGTAGTCCATGTATTACATCTATCATATTGAGTAATTTTATATTCAATATGGTACATTATCTCTGCTCATACAGTGCTGCCCTCTATATGAAAAAAAGACGCATGCCACAAGTCTTTTATCTCCCCTTTATTGAAATTGACTGATTCCAGTGCATCTATCATGCAAATAAACATGCGTCAACAGTTCACCAATAAGAGTGTGACTCCCTCTATTTAATTCTATTGAACTATCACTTCTCATTTAGCAGCCCTTGTGTTCAGACGTTTTTTTTTTGTTTTTTTTGGTGCTCTTTGAGTGTTTTGCATTCGTGAATTTAATCATTTATTTTCGAGGTGGGATTTCATCATTAATTCATTTTCTTTACATTGAAGTCGTATTTTACGTTAACTTCATTTCCGAGGATTTATTTTTTTTCCTCACTGCAATGAATTCTCAGGTTAATGTTACCATTTCGAGTATCATACCTTCTACTAGCACTATTTCACAGTCTGCAGATGGGGAGACCTGTCGTTAGATTTATCTGCCATGAGATTGATCAACCTTCTTCTCTTGAACTTGCCCCACTTTCTCCTGAGCATATCGTGTCTTCTTATGCCCCACTTGCGGAATCAGCTAGACCTAATACCGCAGTTTTAGACATGATTTCTCAGGTGTGTGATGTTTTATCCATTTCCCCGATTTCCTATGATCCACACCGTTCTTTGTTGCATGATAGTTCTTTCTCTCTATATTTCATTTTCCCATTCTCTCTAGATATAAGGGTTCATGTTGAGCAGTTTACTTCACAATTGGTTGAGGGTGCCAGCATTCCTCATCCTCCACAGGCCACGGATCAGTTTGCATTAACTTACCATCAGGTTGACTGTCCGTTTTTCGACTCTCAACAATTAAGGTTGATTTTACCTGTGTGAGTGGGGCAGTTCCTAATTTTCCTATGCATTTAACCCAGTTTCACTCCTTCATCTTACCCTTCTTCCCTTCTACGGTATTTATCTACTATCCATCTTCTTTCCGAGGGAAACCACTGAGACCCTGAAGGTTTTTCGAGGAAAACCTCACCCTTATTACCTCCACATTGGCTAGATTGTCGTCTTCGGCTCTCGGATTTCACACGTGATATTTCTATTGGGATTTTCTGGGCCCAGCTGCAGCCTTGTCCCAGGTTCGTTTGCCACCCCCTTAACTTAGGAATTTATGTTTGGCTCCTTTTCTTTAGTGGTATGTTTCTGCTCATGTACCTGAGACTTTGGAATCATGTGTGGAGTCTGTGCATCAACACTCTACCCTTTCCTCTTTGATAGCATGTTTGTTGCAGTCTGAGCCAAAACAAGCCCCTATTCCTGTTTCCCGTCCTAGTCCTTCTAAGCCTTTACCTGTTCCTCCTTCCAGAGGTTTCTCATCTTGTTGTATTATTCGATGTAGATGGGCACATCGCCAACAATACCAGTGACTACCCAGTGAGTTTTGGTCCAGTGGGAGCTCGATTTTACGAATTTGTTCCCCTTTGGTGATCGTTCACCACAGATCTGTGGGTTCTTCGGGTTTTATCAGAAAGACTTGTTCTACAATTTCTTTCCCCTTTCATTTATCTCCAGTACCAATTTCCTTCTCCATGCGTCGGGATCCTACTACTAGTCAGCATCTGGCAGAGGCATCGCAAGACCTTGTCTCATCGAACCTGTTCATCATACTTCTCCAGGCTATTTTTTGTCCCCAAGAGACCGGAGACTGGTTGTCTGTAACAGATTTGTCCCACCTCAATTAATTTATTAATCTGCTCCGTTTCACCATGAAGTTGTTTCTCATCTTCAGGTGGGCTTTTTCTCCACGTTTATGGATGACCATAATGGACGTCGCAAATGCTTATTTGCATATCCCGATATCTCGTCAGTCACGGCACTATATTTGGTTTCTTCACCACGTAGTGGCTTATCAGTTTTGTGTACTGCCCTTCTGGTTTGCTTCAGTCTCATACATTTTTTGTTGGGTATCAGAGCATTTGCTCGTCACTTACATGTTATTGGTTTGCAGTTTGCACTTTCATCATCATATGGATCACTGGCTACTGTTAGCTCATTCCGAACAGGAGTCTGCCCATCACACTCAACAGCTGCTCAAGTGGGCTGGCTAATCAATTTGGAGAAATCATTCCTGAGACATACCCAATATCTTGTCCATTTGGGTGTTTTTTCAGCACCCATTTCAGTCGGGCTGAATCTTCTTCTTCTTTTTGACTTTATTCGATGGAGCTTTCAGTTCTCCATGCTCTTACTGCTCCCTTCATTCCAGCTTGCGAGGTTCTAATGCTTTTGAGGATGTGGTCTTCCATGGCAGCCATTATCCCATTAGGTCGGGCTCTTCACGACCAATGGAATCTCACGAGGGATCCTTTGAAGGCTCTTATTAACCTTCCTTCTACCCTGGTCGACGATCTGCAGTGGGGTTGGACAAAACCCACACATCAGCGTGTGTTGCGCTTCCTCCTTGTTGTCCAAATTTACACATTTTCACGGATGCATTCCCTCACGAATGGGGAGTGTGGGTCAATCTACAGGAAGCTTCAGGATATTGGTCTTTTGCCAAGAGGGCTTATCATATCAACATCCTGGAGCTTCTTGCTGTACATCGTGCTTTGGTTAATTTTTTCTAACTGGCCAGAAATCATCTGGTAATGATCCATTCTGACAATTCTACAGTGGTTGCTTATCTCAATCACCAGGGTGGC